GTGTATGTCACCAAGATGCACACTTTGCAGTTTGCTTCTGCTCTGCTGACATCAAGAAAGTTATTCTTGATTTTGATTTTTATTTCAGCAGAGTAATCAATAATAAAGGATCTGGTCATTTGTGCTAAGGATATGGTGCCCATAAAGTGTTTTTATTAGCTCTGGAGCCATCGGCAATCAATGTGCTTCAAAACCAGTGCCCACTAATGGATCTCAGTTCTGCAGAGGCAACGGCTGCTTTACCAAAGCAAAACAGGATTCCTAAGACCTTGCACCCACTACCTCTAATTGGGAGGAAGGGCAGAGTCAAGGGGGCTCTGAGATGTCCATACATCAGGCTGTGGGAACGTGTTTCAGGGATGGCTTTTTCCATTGCTGGGCTAGAAAGCAGAAGTGCTTACCAAAAACAGCGGTGTCTGTGTTCAGAGTGTTTCCTCTTGATTTGATGCTGATAGTTCCCTGCGCTTATCACTGGCTTCTCTTTTAATGCTGTCTGCTGATGCTTTTCTGATCAAATCAGGAAGCTAGATTTGAAGAAAAATGTCTTTTGTTTATTCTGTCAACAAACAAGTTGAGAAATGCTAAATGTTGACTTCATTAAGTAAAATCACTGAAATATTTCCCCAAGCTAAGCTAGATTTAATTAGCTTAATTCAAAATGGAACAAAAAGTGATGCCATATAGTGTACTAGCTTAAGTTCATTACATTAGCACTGTGACTACTGAGAGGTAAACGCAAAAACACACCACTGTCGAGTCGGATCCGACTCATAGCCACCCGCCTTGGGTTTCCGAGGAGGTATCACTTAAGGAAGTAGATTGCCCAACCTTCCTTCTGAGGAGTGGCTGGTGGGTTTGAACCGCCAGCCTTCTGGTTAGCAGTCAAGTGCCTTAGGTACTACGCCACCAGAGCTCCCACTGAGAGGCCTTGAGTGCAATACGAGGGAGAGCTGGCGATGGAGCTGGACTGCCTGGGTTGAAGTTCATTCACCTCAGTCACTCACCATGACTTTGGGCAAGTAGCTTGACCCCACTCAATGCCTAATGTGACTCCAACCTTTACCAGCTGTGTGGTCTTGACAATTTACCTCCTCTCTCAAGGACTCTGGTTCTTTATCTGTAAAATGCTGGCCTGTTGGTATTTGTGAGGACGTGAGTTCCTGAGGATTTGATACAGACTGAACACTCCATGACTGCTGGCTGTTATTATTAAGTATGGGAAACCTGAAGCATGTTTTTATTTAATGTTCTTACCACCTATGTTACTGATGGCTTCTAAGGATTAAAATGTGTGCACTGGAAGGAAAAAAAGACAGGCTATTTTGATTAATATACTTTATATATGTTTACTTAGATCATTTCAGAAGAAAGTGTTTGGTATAACCATTTTGAACAGTGGCCTGGTACTAATAACCATGTTTTGAAGTCTGCATCAAGTAAGAGGAGGCATGGTGACACAGTGGCTAAAGCACTCAGCTGCTAAAGGTCAGCAGTTCAAACCCACCAGCCATTCAGTGGGGGAAAGATATGGCAGTCTGCTTCTACAAAGATTTACAGTCTTGGAAACCCCATGGGCCAGGTCCACTCTGTCCTATAGGGTCACAATGAGTTGGAATCAACTTGATGGCAGTGGGTTTTGGTCGTCAAGTAAGAGGACCTTTGAATGGTTCCAGAATGTGCTGGGCACCTTGGGGACAGCTGAGCAGCTCAGGATTATTACTTAAGGGCATCAACCATTTAGCAGGTAGAGATGCTGAAGGCCCAGGAGCCGGTCACACTTGAGAGCTCTCCTCAGACTCAGGCTACAAGAATGTGTTTGTGTTTAAGAAACAGAAAAGTGTAGCAGAAGGAACACTTACGTTTATGTTTAGAATCCCCCAGGTCAGCAGTTTACTGGTCTGTAATCTTGAACGAGTTAAATTAACTTCTGAACCTCAGTTTATTCCTCCTTAAACATAAAGTACATAATATAGTTGTGGTAAGAATTAAATTTAATCATTAACAATACCCCAAAAACACCCATTGCCTTTGACTTTATTCTGACGCACAGTGACCTATAGGACTGAGTAGAAACTGCTCCATAGGGTTTCCAAGGCTGTAAATCTTTATGGAAGCAGACTGCCACATCTTCCACCCATGGAGCGATTGGTGGGTTTGAACCACTAGCCTTTCAGTTAGCAACCAAGGACTTAACTACTCCACCACCAGGGCTCCTTTAACCCATAACGAGGGCTCAATAATATTCTCCTTCCCAAACATAATCACCTCTTACACACACACACACACACACACACACACAAAGGCTCGTTTGGCAAATCATGAGATAACAAGCCCACGTATTTGCAATTAGCTGTTCACTCTAGATAACTTTCCTCTTTAACACATCTGACTTACAACTATTTCTTATAAATAAATGATGGCTCCTCTCTGCTGTTTCCACTGGGAAGAGGAGCTTTTAGAAAATTTGTGTTCTGCAAGACAGAATGTAAGAAACTGTGAAACACACCCATACCCACACACCCACACACAGCCTAGAGCCACTGAGGCCAGGACTGAACTCTCAAGCAAAACTGGCTTGTGACTACAAGGAGACAAACGAAAAATATCACCACCTGTTGAAGTGTGTGGAGGGTATAACAGCATAGGATGTGGGATCTGGTGCCAAACTGCCTGGCCTAAAACCCAAGCTCTGCCATTTGAGTAGCTATTTGACTTTGGGCCCATTTTAAGCTAAGGTTTCTTCATTGGCAAATTTACTGTAAAACAGTACCCACCTCCTGGCGATTTTGTGAAGATCAAATTTGCTGGCACATGCAAAGCACTGATAACAATGGCTGCATATAGCAGAAGTCCATCAAAGACAAAACCAAGCTCACTGCCATCAAGTCGATTCTGAGCCACAGCGACCCCCATTGGATTTCCAAGGCTGTAAATTTTTATGGCAGCAGACTGATCCATTTTTCTTCTGCAGAGGGGCTGGTGGGTTCAAACCAACGAAATTTGGTTACCAGCCAAATGCCTTAACCACTACACCACCAGAGCCAAACTCCTAGTAAGAAGTCATTAAGCATTAAAACAAAACAAAAAAGTGAGTTGCAGTTGATTAGATTCTAGGTCATGGCAACCCTGTGTGTTACAGAGTAAACATGTCCCGTAGAATTTTCTTGGCTGTGTTCTTCATGGAAGCAGATTGCCAGGCCTTTCTTTGACAACGCCACTGGTGGGCTCAAGCCTCCAACCCCTAAGCTGGTAGTCAAATGCAAATCATTTGTCAAGGCGAGGGATTTTCCAACAAGCAAGAGCTGTTTTTTATTTGAATGGTAGAATCAACATAGGGAGGGTTTTTGCCCCCTGTTTTTCTGTATTTTTTTCAAATCAGCTTTTCTTTCTTAAGTATATTTCTGTTGCATTAGACAAAAAGCCACTTTTTGTTGAAGGCCCTGAGAACTGAGTCAGCTGGATATTCTAATTCCGATTCTTATTGAAATATATCACAGTATGTAATCAAATAATGCATATTTCATGGTTGCTGAAATCCAAGAATTGGAGGTGTGGGATGATTGAAATGAACTTTGTGTCCCAGCTGTCCATTTTATAAAAAGTTAGGATAGTTCCATTTCCATGCAGGATGGCTTGCTTTCTTCAGAAAAACTTGTGTTTACACTGTATTCACTTTCCCCCTCCACCCCATGCTTCTAGTTAACTCCCTACCAGGTATTTTCTTTGCCCTACAACTTACATGTGTATTTTAACATATGAAATCACATGTTTAATAATGTTGTTGTTGTTGTTGTTATGTGCCAT